ACCCCCCAGGCTCTGAGCAACTCTTGTGGGTGTGGTCTCCAGGCCCACCCCCAGGTTTTGAGAAGCTTGTTGTGGGCATAGTCGCCAGGCTGTCCCACCCCCTTAGGCTCTGAGTAGCTGTGTTGAGGGCATGGTCTATAGGCCTCCTTGCCGCGCGCTCCACCCTCTCAAGCTCTGAGCTGCTGTGTCATGGGCATGGCCATCAGTCGCTGTCCTCCCCCCCCCCGCTTGCAGCCGTCAGGACTGAGCCCAGCTTGCCACTGTCTGGGCCAGTAGTTGGTGCCCCCAACATTTCCAGTGTCCAGGTGGAGATGGCCCCATGTGGGTGACAGTCTCACACCCAAACTGCTCAAGGTGCAGGGGTGGCCTATGGCTCTGAGGAAAGACAGGACTCACCAGAAGGATGCAGCGTAAAAGCACTGGCATCCCCTTGCCCACTGTGGGCCGGGCTCCTCCCGGACCACCAGGACCTCGGTGCCCACTGGTGCAGAGGCCTTGTGATTTGACAGAGGCCTGTGAGCTGTGGCCACTCTGGGTCAGAGGGTGCCAAAGGCGCCGCCACCCCTCCCCCAGCTGTGAGGACTCATGCTGTTCTTGACACACTGTGTGGGTCCGGTGGGCCCTGCTTTGGACCTCGGTGCTTTCTGGGATGGGGAGGTTCCAGGTGGGGGTGTGGGGTGTCATCAGTCCCCATAGATTGGCTCCTGAGGGAACACAGCCCTCACTCCTTGGTCAGGGCCCCAAGTGAGCAGCAGTCTCAGTTCACAGAATAGGAAAACTGAGGCAGACAGCATCAGGCTTTCCGTGTTGGGCCTGGACACCCAGAGAAAGTCATCCCCGAGGGCTGCCATCAGAGGGAATGTGGCCCTGATGTGGCGTTCCTGAGGTTTCCAGTGCCTGTCCTGCCCTGTGGGGGCTTCTAGTCCTCAGCTGACTCCCCTACTGGGGCTGCTGGCCCATCCCTACCTGCTGAACCAAGTGCAGGGGGGCGCCCACATGCCTCCCTGCAGGGAGGCTGCAGGTAGAGGGTGGGCACTGGAGTGGCAGGTGGCACAGACAGGGAGGGGCAGTGCCCACGGGCCACATGTGGGACCCTCCCAGCGGCAGTAGGAATCGCAGCCATGGCCAGCAGACAAGCTGGTCCCAGGAGTCCCATCCCCACTCCTGGGCCTGTGACAGGCTGGCCTCCTCGGGCCCTGCAAGCCCCCATGTGTGGACAAGGTCAGGAACCTGGAGGCTCCGGAGAGCAGAGGGTGGTGGTCCTGCCAGCGTGAGCCCAGGCAGTGGGTATGCGGCGCTGTCGGGGGAGAGATGGCAGGAACGCTGGGAAGGATTTGAGGCTTCCACAGTGCATGGCAAATGATAAATGATTACATGGATACTTCTAGGAGGAAAAAGTTTCAAGATTAAAGATGGGACACAAGTGTAAAATCAGTGGAATTGGGTAAAACCCCTGCAATACTGACTTGACCTTTCCCCAGCAGCAGGAGTCTCAGCCATGAGGGAGCCAGACACAGCCGTCCGCACTGTTGTCTCTCAGGTCGTTCCCTTCCAACATGAGTGGAGGCTGTTCGGGGGTCAGGCCCTGGGGCAGCCCGAGGCCACAGGGTGAGGTGTGCTTGGTGGGTGGGCACAGCCTGGGGTCCCGCCTCGCATGCTGTCCCTCTGCTGCTCACCCATCCTGGACAGCAGGCTGGATGCCCTGTGGCCTCAGGTAGGCTCTGAGCAAGCAGGGTAGGGCCATGCCCATCCCTGCCCCACATGCTCCCACCTCTGACTCCTGTTGCAGACACACCGTCCAGGGGCAGAAACGTTCCAGATGAGTCAGGCCAGACTCTGCTGACTGTGATTGCCACCTCCCAGAGGTTGTGGGAGGTGCTGTCCTGTGCTGAAGTGCATCCAGAAGCTTCTAGTTTGCCCCGTGGTCTCTGAGCGCACATGGGAGGGGAGCATCTGAATCAATGCAACGTGTCAGTGTGATGTGGAAACATGTGGCTTCGCAGCACAGCACTGAGACTTCTGCGCCTATTATGCTCGTGGGCTGGGGGAGGCAAGAGACAGACATGATGGGAGCCTCAAACAGGTGGGGTCTGGCAGAAGAGACAGGGAGGAGGGAGCTGGCCAGGAGGGGGCGTGGCTCAGAGAAGGCCAGAGAGTACCTAGACAGAGATGGGATCTAGGCGGAGCAGCCATAGGACTATGCATGGACTTCCTGTGACGCATGCCAGCAGGTGTCCCTGCAGCAGCCACGCTGTCACCCTGGGCTGTGAGCGGCTATCCGGGAGCCACGCAGAAATGCCCAGGAGTTGTGGCTGCCCCGCTCTGAGGACGGCTGGGGTTGTGGCAGCACCGGCTGGGGTTGCAAGCCTGGTTCCTCAGGGCAGCTGCACTCCTCCCTGGGTGGGGACCCAAACCTCATGCAGGCCTGGAAACACCGTGGCTGTGTGTGGGGTGCACGTGTGCAGATACATGTATCTGTGTGTACTCACTGCTGAGGGAAGACAGCACTGGGCCAGCATCTGTTTTCTCCTGAGTCTTTATTTCATTTCTTTTCTCAGGTGACACCCTTGGGACCCTCCTGGGACCTGCTCTGGGAGAGCCTGAGATCCTGGGGCACCTGAGTGGAAGGCCACCGTCTCACAGCATGGCGAGTCGGCGAATGCCAGAGGCTGCAAGGACCAGGTATAGGGGACACTGGGGGAGCGGCCGGGTCCCCTTGAAACACGAAAACCGGCCCAGGTTTTCCCCGGTGACCCCATTCTGGTCCGCTCTTGGCTCTGTCAACCTGGTGGGGGCTCAGTCCTCAAGAAGGCCGGCAGGGGCGCGGGCACAGGGATATGTGCAGGGCCTGGTGACCTGCCCCTGCAGCTGAGCCCTACCCAGTCTGGCCAAGCCACTGCTCACGGATAGAAGCGTCTGACGAGGTCTTTCTTGTTGACCTTGCCCATCTGGTTCCGTGGGATCTCCTCCACCAGCACCAGGTCCGAGGGTACCGCGTATGGGGCCAGGATGCCTCTGCAGGAACAGGTGCCACCTGAGACGGGCTCACTGCACTGCTGGCTGGGGACCAGCAGTGTGAACAGGCACCCACACCTGCCTGTGCCCTGGAGCTTGGGTGTGCCCAACCACATGACGTGGCCGGCATCCCCCAACCGCACATGCCATGGTGAGTGCAGGCCTTCTTGGATGAGGTCCAAGGACAGGCCTGTCTGGAGCAACCCCTGGACAGCAGGCAGAGGGCTGAGGGGCCCCCGAGTGGGGCCAAGCCTCCCAAGACCCCTGCTGGAGCTGGAAAGCCCACCTCTTCCACGGCCTGTTCCCTGCAGAGTCGAGCATAAAGAAAGCTTCTGGAAGGGCCGAGAAGGTGGTTGGGGTGGAGTGGTCTGCTCTGCACAGGGGTTTAGAGACCCAAGCAAATCACCAGCTGGTGCGGCTGAGATCCTACAGACCCTGCATGGCAGGGGTGCCCCCTGAGGTCAATACCCACTCACAGTCCCATCTTGCTGCCAAGACTTGGCATCTCATCCCATGGTGCTTGGGTGACACATTGACATTCCATGGCCCCCTGCACCCTGCCGTGTGCCACCCACCCAGCAGCTAGGCCACACTTCTTGCTGTGCCACATGGTGCTGGTGCCCAGACCTAGAGGAGAGAGGACACAGCTGCCCTGGCTGCACTCAGAAGCCTGCTGAGGACAGCATGTCGGGGGACAGTGACAGAGAAATCATAAAAGCAGCTGTAGGATATGCCACCCACATCCAGTCATGTTCCCATAGGAGACAGGCAGCAGTGCCACTTCTGGTGCATAGACAAAGCCCACAACCCAGAGTCCCCGCTCCAGGGAAAGTGTCTTCAGGAGTGGAGATGGATTTGAGGCTTCTCTAGACCCCCGAAGTGGAAGGAGCCATCACCAGCAGGTATGTGCTGGGACATGCCGAGGATGCCACGCCAAGGGAGGGAGAATGGCCACATGTGTCAGCATCATCATTTCCTATGGTTAACTCTCTTCAAAAAGAATGACGTTCAATAAGAGCATTGACATGAAAAGTGCATGGCTGCAACTGGGAGGAAGTGCGCTGCTGTGTAGACACAGCCAGGTGATGTCACCTGCAGCAGCTGGGGGAGTCAACCTGAGTTAGCACCACTGAGTATCATGGAAACTGGGACTGTGGAACATGCATTTCTGTGGCTGGTCTGTGGACAGAAGATGATGGACATTTCGTGGACATTGTAAACCCTGAGTTAGCACCACTGAGAGAGAGGACGTGGGTTTAGACTCTGTGGCACTTGCGTTTCTGTAGCCTGTCTGGGAAGGAGAGCTTCACATCTGCAGAGGACTCTGCCCTCCAGAGAGGACTCTGTCCTTACCCATGGCCCCGAGGGACTCTCATACCAGCTGACCTCACACCACACCTCCAGAACAGCTTCAGGGGGAGACCCTGGCGAGACCCAGGGGTCGAGATGCCACTCGGTAAAGCAAGTTTCCCCGTGGAGAAGCCCATGTGGACACCGGAGTCACTGACCCCAGCCACGATCACAGCCCTTCTGGAGGAGTGAGCATTGGGCACAGAACTGCACACGGCTTCACAGCAACACCTGCCACGCATCCATGGCCAGGGGAGGTTGTGGTGCTGTGACCACTGCCCACCAGCGATGACAGGAGGGCGTGGCTTAGTGATGGGGCAGGCACACCCTTCTCAGCAGCCCAGATGGGCACACGGGTCCCTGAGGGTGACCATGGACCGAGGCTGACCAGCACAGGACAGCCAATTGCTCAGGGCATTGTCAGAAAGTCCTAACAGGTTGGAAGCTCAGGTCACTGTCAGCGGGAAACCCAGCAGGTTTCCGAGTTCAGAAGCCAAGCTCCAGTTCATAGAAAAAGGGTCTGGTGCTGCTCAGAAGCGGCCAGGAAGGCACAACCCAGAGGGTTGTCTGGTATGGATGCCTGTCCACGTGGCCCCTCCATGCAGAGACCATGGCCCTGTAGCCTGAGTACTTGGGGCCATGCCCCCACCTCCCCCAGGTGCCTGGCTGACTTCACTGTCAGCACTGGGACAGCATTTCTAAGTAAGATCCCTTTTCTTTCCATTTCAGACAGTACCCTGGGCTTCCTGCCCTTCTACCCCCTGCCACGGCATCCCTGCTCTTCCTTGGAATAGGACGCAGTGCTCACAGAGCCATGTAACATGGTGTACCACAGATGCAGCAGCGCTGGAACAACATCTTCCCTCTTGGGCAGCTTTTGCTCCTGGACATACTCGCCATGTTATCCTGGTTTCTGGCACCCGTCACAACTCCAGCAGCGTCTTCTGACAGCCACGGACCCTCCTGATGCACAGGTTGGGCACCGATAGTGTTCCCCACCGCACCTCTGCCCTCAGTCCTGGGACGTTCTGGTGTTGGCGGTTCGGTGACTCATTTTCTGTATTTTCCCATCTGTCTTTCTAGAAGTCCTAGAGCTGGACTCCTGGCTTCCGCCTTACCTTCCTGTCTCTCTGTTCTGCTTTCTGGCCTGCTGGTCTCAACTCCGAGTCTCAACTCAGGGTTAACGAAGAACCTGGGGCAGGGCCTGGTCTGACAGCTTTTGGGATCCCTCAGGAGGCCACCTCCAATCGCATCTGGGCGGGAGGCCCGTCCGTTCCCTCCTGCATGCTGCCATCAGTCTCAGGTCTGCATTCGCAGGTTGCTGCCTCTTCCGGGACCTCCCCTCCTCCAAGATGGATACCAAGACCCAGACTGGTCCTCGCCCAGCCTCCAGGTCTGGGAGTGTTCCTGCCAATCTGTCTGCCCCCACCTCCCTCTCACCCTGCCTGCCCCCACCCACCCCTGCTGCTCTACCTCGCCCACTCTCTGAGCTCCTTGTGGGTCAGCATGTGTCCTTCTTGGAGAGTTGCCACGGCGGTAACCCGCTGGCCCCACGTCATATCTGGGACTCCAATCACAGCCACATCTGTGGACAGAAGGACAGACTAGATGTGAGAACACCTCAGTGACCTCTGCACACCAAAGAGCACCATGATGGGAGGAAATGCCAGGTGGCACTGCAAGGTCCTGCAGGTGCCAGGAGGGGGTCCTGGGGGGCCCTGCCTGTCACACAGGGAGCTGCAGGCCTGCATGGTGGAGTGAGGATGCCCACGTCTGTCAGGGTCAGGCATCCATGGGGTGGGGACAGCTGTGCCTCTCAGGGGCAGGTGTCCATGGGCTGAGGACACCCGTGTTGCCTGGGGCTAGGTATCCATGGGGTGAGGACAGTTGTGTCTCTCGGGGTGGGCATCTGTGGGCTCAGCTTTCCCACCACTCTCACTGGAACATGCCACCATCCTACATGGAGGTTGTACAGGCTGGACTTCCACCCTGGCCAGTCCTGGGAGCCCCACAGGACGGGTAGGCAGGCGGTGGTGCTCCCATCCCAGTCCTGTGTGCCCCAGGCCCAGGGTGGAGGCACATGCCATGGGACCCTGTGGCAACTGGAAAGGGGCCACTCATCCCTGACCATCTAAACCCCAGACATGGCCTCGGGTATCCGGCAGCTCAGGCCACCCACCTGTGATGCTAGGATGGGCCAGCAGGTGCTGCTCCACCTCCAGGGCGCTGACCTTGTAGCCTCCAGTCTTGATGATGTCCACCGAGGTACGCCCACGGATCCAGTACTGGCCATCCCTGAACACCGCGGTGTCCCCTGGGGAGGGGCTCTGGTTACTCTCCTGTGGCCGCCACATCCAGCATGGGTCACCAGATGTGCCCCGAGCTCCCAGCAGTCACTCTGTGTCTCTGGGAGACAAATCTGCCCCCTACCCTCAGCCATGAGCCCCAGGGGCTGCTGGCACCCCCCACCGAGGTCAGGTTGGCAGTGGGCTCAGAGCCCACCGGGACCCGTGAGATGCTGAAGCCACGCCAGGCTGCGGGGTCCACATGAGTGCCCTGTACTCGTGACCCACTTGGCTGTTTTGTGACACTCGGTGACCATGAAGTATTAGTGGTGCTTTCAGAACACAGCAATAGCATGACATCCCGTGGCTCTGACCCTAACTTGGGATGGGCATGGGGGTGCACCAGGCCCCTCTGCAGGGGAGGCCAAACAGTCCAGGATCACAGGCCCTTTCTCCATGTAGGCCAGGCCTGGGGGCATCCAGCTGGATGCCGGGGAGACTGTGAACCTTCTGACGTCCGTGGGGGAGGGTCCAGCAGTGACCCCCGTGCTTCCCAATGGGATCTTGCATGCAGTGCTGTGGGGGAACCAGACTTCTGGGGCCTCTGCCTGGCTATCTCTTGCTTCTGCACCTGGCACCACAGCCCAGAGACAGTGGCTGGGCCACCCTCACTTTTCACAAGGCAAAGCCAGGTCTCCCACCCGCGCCCCCCCCATGCCACACTCGGGCCTCACACAGACACCCAAACTCTGGTCTCTGCCTTGAGTAGCTCACTGTACTTCACAGACACCGCCAGGCGTTAAGAGTGGGGCTGAGGGACGACGGGGTCACAGGCCTGCTCTCAGCCTGAAGCTGTCTTATGGTGTACACCCAGGGCATGCGTGTGTGTGTGTGTGTGTGTGTGTGTGTGTGTGTGTGTATGTGTGTGTGTGTGTGTTTCTATAGGAGTGCAGTGTGTGCACAGATGTGCCCATGGGCATGTGTAGTGCATGTGGATGCCTCCCCTACCAGAACAGTGCTGGGCCTTACCCACCTGTGCCCCACCCCCTCACCCTGCACATGGGTCCCCAGCTGGAGCAAATCACCAGTTTCAATCCACATTACACTGTCACACAGGATGGTCCATCCGTCACCTCGCCTGACCTGCGGAGCGCTCATCTATTAAGCAAGACGGATTGGTGCATCAGGCAGGCTGTGGGCTCATTTATGGAGCAGAGAGGAAGAAGCACAGAGACAGAGGCCGCACTGGAGGTTCTCTCTCCAGCATTGGACTCCATGCCTGTGGGAGGCAGAAGTGAGAAGCTCTTGGGTGGGTGGGCGGCCTCCCATGGACCTGTGACAGCCTGGCTGGCAGGGGCTGGGACAGAGCACATGGTGAGGGCTGCTCTGTGATGTCCCTCCAGCACGAGCTCACCCTCCGGGTGTGATGCCCTCTGTGACTCTCAGCACACAGTGGCTGCAGCCCCAGCCCCAGCCAGCTCCTTTCTGCTCCTTCCCTGCCCACCAGGCACCCACAAACAACAGCCCTGGCCACATCCTCATTGATGAAGGAGGGCTGGTGTCGTCCTGGGCTCCAACCCCAGTGCCAGGGGCCCAGGTTTAACCAAAGTCTCAACAGGACCTCAGAGTGGGATGGTGCAGGGTGGTGTGTGATGCAGCTGGGTGACATGGTGGTGGGGAGTGTGACACAAGCCACCCCTCAACATACCATTGAGCGAGTCTCATCACATCTACTCGTAACAACACATTTATGGACACTCATCGACTCTGGCTCTGGAGTCTCTCCCAACACACACAGTGGGTTTGAGCGCCGACCTCACCGGGGCTGCCTCCTGTCTCTGCATCCATAGGACTGAGTCAGTCTCGCCAATGCTCAAGCCCCGTTTCTGGAAGTGTGGGTGGCATGTGGACCCCACCTCCCCACCCCCAGGGTGACCTCGTCTGTGGTCCTCCAAGGAGGCGCCTGGCTGGGTCCTGACCCACACAGGTGAGAAGAGGTGTGTCTTGCCCGAGGCTGAGCCTGGATCTGGGCAATGCCGGCACCTCCAGCCCCATGCCAAGAAAAGGCAAGGGAGTGGCCAGGCCAGCCCGCCTGACACCCTTCCTCCCAGATGGCCAGACAGTGATGGTATGTCTGAGGAGTGGGCTCCTGGTCCTGGAGGGTGCTCTGAGGGACTCTGGGCCTCTGGCCCTGAAGGCTGCCTCCGTGTCTGTCCTGAGGCCCTTCCTGGTTCCTGAACCTCACCTTTCCTGGGGCCTGCCCATCGTAGGGGGAAGTTGAGACCCCAGCCAGAAGTTCTGAGCCCTTTCCCTGGGTGCTCAGTGAAGGGCACCCACTGAGGGGCTGGCTGGCCACCATCCCATGGGCTCTGGAAAAAGACAGGGCCCGGGCAACCCCCTCAGGTCCCCTCCCACTATGGGAGCTTTTCTGTCCTCACAATAAATTCTGTTAAAAAAAAGAAAAAAGAAAAAAGAGGCAAGGCCTGTGGAGGAAGAAGGAGTCCAAGGAAGCCAGGACACCATTCAGGAATGTTTCTAACCCAGACTTGGCAGGACAGAAGGCTGGCCAGTTACACACGTCCTCAGACCCACGCCTCATGCCAGGTGTGGAGGAACAGGGTAGAGCTGAGGAAGGCAGGAGCAGGCGGAGGGATGGAGATACCGTGTGGATTCCAGCCTGGCGGGGTTCTGAGTCTGGGACTTGCCAGGGACCAGCGCCCGGGAGTCCAAGAGGCTGAGACCTCTGGACGTGGGGACAGCCTGAAGAGGGAAGGAACCACGGGCCCGAGGCTCATTCTGAATGGCAACTCCACCATCCGGGCAGTGTAGAAGCTGCACACACTGGGCTGAGATGTGGCTAGAAGGGGACCTTGCCTCCAGGTGGGAGAGCGGGCCGCAGTGTTGTCAGTGGGTCACACAAGACTTGGAGATCACAGAATAAACAGCTGATGGGTCCAGGGAAGGAGTGGCTGTAGGTTCTCATTCCAAACTGGCAAAACTGCACAGATCTGCAGGCCCAGGGCATGTAATTTTGGTCTTAGAAAACCTTAAAAACATTCGCCTTCTGCCCAGAGTCCTCATGTACGTCCTGCCCCAGGCAAGAACACGCCAGGATGGCAGCGACCTGATGCTCAGTGCGAGGGGGCCACAGGAGGGCCCTCGGAGCCGAGTGAGAACCTGCATTGGCTTCTCTCCGCCTAGGATATACACAACATACCGAATCTGCAGAAAGACTGTCAGAACTCAGGAGAAATGTCAACAGGCTTTCGTGATCTGGACCCAAACATCAACATGTCCAGCACACCAGAGCAGCCACATCAAGGCTGCCACAGAATCCCATTCATACCAGCAAACAGAATGACATGGTGGCACTCAGCATGCCACCCACCAAGACCTGGTGGAGATGGGCTCCATGGACACGAACACGCTGAGGGGTGTGGGAAGGCCCTGTGGGGTAAGGCCCAGCAGATGCAGGCTGGGGGCAGTCGCTTCCCCGCCTGGCCATCTTGGCTTGTGGGGGCCAGCAGGTATGAGGGCCATGTCCCCCTCAGTAGGGCAGCCCCTCCCTGGGGTTGCCTCTGCCGTGTCCACCCGAGGCCTGCTGACAGATGACACGGCCTGTTTGGGGGCACCCTAGACTTCTGGCCCCCTGAGGGCCTTGTGAATAAGCCCCTTCCCCATGGGTGCTAGCAGGACTCAGGCCACACTCACATCTGAAAATGCCTTGTACCTGGTGTCCAGGACCGGCCGGGTGTAGACAGGCCAAGGATCCAGCATGGACCCTGGCAGCTGGGCCACATGCCACAGTGCTTGACATGCCCACAGGGTACAAGGTCACACATGGGGCAGGCTGCCCAGAGTGTGGCATCTCACATGGGGACACATGGGTCTTGCCTGACCATGCCACCACAGTGCAGCTCTGGGTGCACCAAAGGCTTCACTTTGCAGGAGCAAAACTCACAAACACCAGAAGAAACTATAGGAGAGCATCCCGCAACTGCAGGGCACAAAGGCTCTTAAGGAGGACAAAGAAGGAAACACATGGAGAAGACAGCAGGCATGACCACAGCATGGAAGGCGCCATCAGCAAGGGGCACGCGGCATGGCAGAGGACAGCCCTTCCTGGCCACAGAGCAGGAAGCAGCCACACCACAGCAGGCCATTGTGGCCACAGGTCAGGGTAGCGCTCAGGGTGAGGTTCCCATGGGACGCTGCCACATCCCAGCACTGTCCCCACTCCCTGGGACCCTTTCGGCTCCTGGCTCCCAAGGGTGGTGCCACTGCTGATGGTGGCCTGCCCCATGGTCCAGCACTGTGTCCCTGAGGAAAACCAAGGTCATGCCCCTCTTGTGGGGCCTGAGCACCCAGTGGCCACACAGAGGTGCATCCTGCAGTCGGCTGGAACGGCCCCTCCTCTGTGCAGGCCCACTAGGCAGCCTGGTGTCCGTGGGAGGGAGACACCTCCCCCTGGAGCTGTCGGAGTGCAGGTGCTCGGGAAAGGGGGACTTCACTTCAATCAACCTGGCCCCAAGGGTAGGCCCACACAGACCCCCTGCGCTGATGGCAGGGTGGGGTTGGGGGAGGGGGCACTGTTCATTCCTGCATTCTGAGAATAGCTCCGACCACGCCACTGGTCTCTCAACCCAGAACTGGCACAAGCCTGACTGGCCTCAGGAAGGTCTGTGTCCAGGACACCTGTGTCCCTTCCCCACAGAGGCATCTATCACCCTGTGCAGCCAGGCCTGGCCTCGAGAGGCAGCTCCGACCATGAGGGAGGCAGGGCCTGGCCTCCTCACGTGCCCTGACATCAAGCCTGGGGCCCAGAGGCCACCCGGTTCCACAGCAGAGGCTGTGGGGTGACCCTGACACCACCAGGCCCTGCAGCCTACAGTGCTCGCCTGGCATCCGGCCCTCTGATAAGTGGTCCTGGCAGCTGGAGCTGTTGCTCCCAACTTTCTGTTCCTTGGGGCCGCTATATCCCAACTAAAACCATGAGACCTCCTGGACCTTGGTCACTGCCTGACATGTGAGCATGACCCACCCTGAAGCCCAGGCAGGGTCTGGGGTCTGGGGAAATGGAGCCTGGCTCGGGCATGATAGGCCCCTTGCTGCAGCCCCTCCACGTGTAGCTGGGGATGGGGCTGAACCTGGCCAAGACACAGGTTGGCACCTGGCGGTACATACCCTGCAAGTGAGCAGATGGCCTTGAATAGCCCAGTTGGAAATGGGGCACTGGGCATGGCCGTGCTCTCCTTGTAGGCTCCCACCCCACCTCCTGCTCCCCTCCAGCCCTTGAGCTCAGGGGCTCTCCTGGATCCAGGGATGGTTCTGAGGGCAGTGGAGGGCTTTCTCCCAGCTGGTGTTCAAGATGCCCCACTGCAGGGATGCTGGCCCCATCCCTCTCCTCACACCCCCAAACCAGCCCCTGATGGTGCCACTGTCTGCTCATGAGATGGAAGCAGCCGGCACAGGGGCAGGAGGTGGCAGGAACAGAGTGGTGGCCTAGGCTTCCCCAACGCTGCTGGCTCACACCAGAACCTGTGTGGCAGACCGGCCAGGGAAAGGATTAAGCTGAGGTTCCTGATCCCTATATGTCAGTTCACCAGCTGTGAGTGGACTACAGTTCTCATCCTAGGCTCTCATCACCACTGCTGTTGGCTGTGAGGCAGGTTGAGCCCTCCACCTGCCAGAGAGCCAACCCCGCATTCCCCTGCTGCCCACCCCCATCACAAGGAAATCAAAGCCAACCTCCTGAAGATGTCTCGTACAGTAATTGACATGCCATCCTCCTGGCCAGAATGTTCACCAGTGCTGGTGGCGCCCAGGCCGTCCCCACCTCCCACCCCACCATCCCTCCGTGGCCCTGTGAGCCCTGCTGTCGGCAGAACCCACGAGGTCTGGCTCCCTTGCTTTAAAGTAAAAAGTCGACAGCTTTTCATCTGAATGTAAACATAAAGAGAAAGCCACACAACGAGGTATGTCCAGGCAGCTGTGTAAGGTGCTGGAGGGACGGGCAGGCCCCCTGGAGCTGTGTTCTTGCATTGAAGGATTGTCACAGGAGAGGCTTGCTGCCAGAGGAGCTGGCGCTAGAGGGGCGCACGATAGGGCATACTGGGTGCATGCTGCCCTGTCAGACAATGTGGGGCAGGAGCCTGTCACCTGTCACCTGTCACTGGGGTTTCTGGTCCCAGCCCCAGCCCTCTGCTGAAGTCAGCCCCAGTGTGGCCTGTGGGTGGTTCATGGGGCAGCATCTGTTTTGAGGCTCATGGAACCTTCACTCTGCAAGCCTGCAGAGACCCCATGCACCTGCCTAGCACAATCAGGGCTCTGGGGGGGCAACGCCCATGTTGCTTTTCCATTGTCCCTTCTTGCCCACAGGACCAGATGCTCTGACCATGGTTGCTAGGAGAGGGAAGAGAAAGAGGGAGAGCCCATGCAGGACTGTGGGCCCATGGGGGCAGGGGAAACCAGCTGGGCCAGTGAGGCTTGCCTCAGTACCACCGAGGGGAGGCTGGAACTGCTGGAGGCTACCCCTTGGTAGGGTAGACCCTCCACCTGCCTTCACTCTCAGGCCCTGCTCGATGGGAGCTGAGTCCCCCAGCACCAAGGCTGCCGGGTCTCACTCCGCCCACCCACTCAGTCATGCTGACCTCAGGCCGGCGATGGCCACAGATTCCCGAGTGGAGGCTGGCAGGTGACCCCACCCACCACAGTCCACAAGGGCCCCGACTGCTGAGACAACACACCTGTGCACAGCTCATGCTAGCACATGCTGCAGGGCCTCTTGGGTCAACAGGATGAAGGCATGCATCAGCTGGACCAGAGGCCATGAGCCATGGGCCATCACCACCCCCTCTCCCTCTCATGTGCATGGAGCCATCCCCCTGCATGCGACCTCAGCCCTGTTCCGGTGGAAGAGCACGGGAGAGGCACGCTTCGCACCACAGGCCAGCATGTTGTGACATATGGAAACAGGCCTTTCTTTTCGGAAGCTATTTTCTTAAGATTATTATATGATAATGCTCAGCACAAACATTTTAGAAACATAAAAAAGCAAAGAGGAAATAAGTAAATGAGAAGAAGGCCAGGTGACGGCGTTCCCGTTGTCTCCTTCCAGATAGATGCGCCAGTACAGACACAGGGCACACCTGACACATCTACTATCTGCCATGTCACGTGGCAGGACATGGGCTCCAGGGACCACATCCACATCTCAGAAAGGCAGGGCTGGGCAGGAGTTGCTTGGGCGGGTTCCAGGTATGCGTCTCAGGAATGAGGACAGGGTGGCAGGGGGGGCCGCCAATGCACACCAGGGTTGCCACCTTCCCTGACCCACGGGGCTCCTGGGCCGCCTCACATACCAAGAGTTTCCATTCGCCGTGGCCATCCCAGCCGGTGACACCGAGGGCACATGGACTTGTGGACAACATAGACTAAAGGCCAAGCTGCACACAACCCTCACCACACCAAGGTGATGCTTGACCCCGGGTGGGAGGGAAGCTGCACAGAGCCCAGGTGGGAGGGGCTCAGGTGGCCAGAGAGGACAGCAGTCCACCTGTGTGTAGGAGAGAACCTCACCCATGAGGGGCAGCAGGACTGTGGGGAGTAGTGTGGGGACCACAGGGAGGAACACTGGGACTGTGGGGAGGAACACATGGGGACCATGGCAGGGGGACGCTGGGACCAAGGGGAGGAATGCTAGGACCACGGAGAGGGATGCTGGGATCACGGGGAGGAGCATGGAGAATACATGGAAGAACACATGAGGATCAGCATATGGTCACGCCACGTGTACAGCAGGGCGGCTGCCTGGGTGAGGGATGGTGTGGGAGCCTTGTCACTGGAGGGAAGGATGTCCTGGGTCCTTCTGAGGGACACAGGCCTATGAAGCCTCCTGCAGAAGCCAGCAGGGAGGCCGGGTGCTCAGTGGGCGCAGTGTCAGAACAGTACCTCCTCCCCCACCCTGCCTTCTGCCCTGGTCTGAGAATTCTGGGAACACCCAGGCTAGGAGACACCAACTCAAATTCTATCTGGGGTAGCCAGGTCACACCCCCGCTGTATCCCTTCCACCCCTACCCCAACCCCTCTGCCCATGCCCTATTCTCTCTGCCTCTGCTCTGTCCCCTCCACCTCTGCCCTGTCTCCTCTGCCCCTGCCCCATCCCCTCTGCCTCTGCCCCATCTTCTCTGTCCCTGCACAGTATCCTCTGGGGTTTCCTCTGCTCCCATTTTGGGTCCTACCTGGTTTTTAAATTTTTTTTAAGTTGGAGTCTCACTCCGTCACCCAGGCTGGAGTGCAGTGGCAAGCTCACGGCCACCCCGGTGTCGACCTGCTGGGCTCCAGTGATCCTTCCACCTTAACCTTCCAAATAACCAAAACTACAGGTGTGTACTACCATGCCCTGCTAATTTTTTTGAGTTATTGTAGCGATGAGGTCTCACCAAGTTGCCTGGGTTGGTCTCAAACCCACAGGTTCAGGCAATCCACTTGCCTCGGTCTCCCAAAGTGCTAGGATAGATAACAGGCTAAGCCACCAATTCCGGTCCAGGTCCTACCTGTTTTAAACCAGCCATCCGAGGTGAAGGCACTTTCAGTTTCCTCTGGCTTGTCCCAGTACTCTCGGAACACGGAGGGCCCCCTGACCAGCAGCTCCCCCTCCTTCTCCTCGAACCCTGGGGTCACCTGTGGAGGGAGAGAATGTGCAGGCTGACACTGGGCATGGCCTCATGCATCAGCTCTGTGTCCCCGGTGTCCCTACATGGGAGCCCCTCATGGGACCCGCCCATCCTGAGGCCCATGGTTTCTGAGACACTTTGCTGGGAATGTTTGAACATTGCAGCTGTTAATAGGTGGGACTCCATCATGCCAGGGCCGTGCAGTCGTTCCTGCCCTGGCTGCCTGCCTGGGTAGCTGGACTGGGAGCCATGTCATCGCACTGCTCCCAGACAGCCACAGACAGCAGGTATGTTCAGTATGTCCCCTAGACAAGATGGCACCAGGCCTGGGCTGGATTCAAGCCATCTGTCCACTTCTGAAAGCTATGCCCAAGTCCATCTTCATGGTGTTTCTCAGACCAACAACATGGCACAGGAGATATGGGCAGCTGTCCACGACCCCATCCCCTGCAGCAGCTGTGGGCAGTACCCCTGCAGGGCCCTCTGGAGCTGCCTGCTCTGCTCACTGATCAGTTGCAGGAAGGAAGAACCGTGGTGAGGACTGGCAAGCCAGACAGGTGGAGTGACTGGGTGCCTGTTGGGTACTGGGCAGGTGGGACCCTCTGGAGCCATGGAGACACCAGCAAGTGTAAGGAGGGGAGGCAGAGGGTACAGGACGCGTGGGCCTCGGTAAGCCATACCAGCTGCACAGCCCCCACTATTCTGCACCTTAAGTGACTGACCATGGCCTAGGAGGCTGAGGGCACTGCCGAGTCTCACTTAGGCTCATTGCCTGCCATTTGGAATGGAGGTTCTTAAAATCCAGGGACCGTGCAAGTCAGCTGTCCCTGCACCTCGATTGTCCGATGCTGAAAAGAATGTTGGAGCCCCTGGATGACACAGCACATGAGGCAAGGACCCCACTCCCCCCAGCCCTGGTCCACTGTGTCATCCACTGACTCCCAGCCGGGCGTCCTATAGGAGACAGGGACACCACCTGTGAGAGGTGAGACATACCCTGTATAGGCAATGGATGCCCAGCCTGCCTCCTGCCATCCTATCCCCTCGGTTGAGGCTTGTGTGTTTTGTTTTATTTGTTGAGTCAGTGTCTTACTCTGTTGCCCAGGCTGGAGTACAGTGGCATGATCATGGCATCCGCAGCCTCAACTTACTGGGCTCAGGCAATCCTTCCAACTCAGCCTTCCAAGGAGCTGTTAACTATAGGCCCCACATCACACCTGGCTGATTTTTTGACTTATTGTAGAGATGAGGCCTTGACAAGTTGTCCAGGTTGGTCTTGAATCCCTGGTCTCAGGCAATCCTCTCGCCTCTGCCTCCCAAAGTGCTGAGATGACAGGCATGAGCCACCATGCCCAATGTGTTTGTTTTTTCAAACTAAACCATATACTTTACTGAATGTCACTAATTTTTCCATTGCTATCCTCAATCTGCTCCACTGCCAAGGTCAGACTGGCTGCTGGGCAGCACCCATGGGACAGAAACAAACTGTGAGGCAAAGGTTCTAAAAATGAAATGACATTGAAACCAACCCCAGAGAAGGCAGGTTGAAGACTACAGATCTAAGTCGACCAGGTCACAGTCAAACAAACACATCAACATTTTTATAGAATATAAACAAGACCAAGCATCTCATAACATAATATGTAAAATGTCCAGGTTACGATACCAAGTTACTCAGGATATGAAGAACTAGAAAAACATCAACCCTTCTGGAAATGGTATATGGCAATACTGAGATGACAGAATCGTTGTTATTATCTGACAAAGACTTTAAAGCACTGTTATAAAAATGCTCCAAAAAAATAAGTGCAAATACTCTGGAGATAAATGCCAAATTCGACTATCTGAGCAAAAAAATAAAAGGCAGAACCAAATGGAAATTTTAGAATTGAAAGATACAAGAACAGAAACAAGAAAATATCACTGAAAGGGCTTAACAGCAGGATGAAGAATGCAAAGAAAAGACCTGAAAGCTTGGAGATGAGCCCTAGCAACAGGCTGACAGAGGAGAAAAATGACCAGGAAAAATAAACTGAGCCACAGGGTCCCGAGGCCACTACACAATACATTCATGTTATTGGATTGATGAAAGACAGAAAAAGGGTTAAGTGCATATGGACATTTGATAAAATTTGGTGGAAAGGCCCCAGTTTGGTGAAAATATAAACATATAGATTTAAGAGACTCAGAGAATCCCAGACAGGACAACTCAGAGTACAAGCCCAGCACTCCATGACCTGATCAACGAAACCTGAGGACAAAGACAAAGCACCTGACTGCAGCCAGGAGAAAACAGAGCATTCCTTGGGACCAGGGATTCAAGTGACTCTACAGATTTATCACCTGAACAACAGAAGTCAGAAAGAAGTGGAATCATATTTTTTAAAGCAATGAAAAAAATAGTTGTTAATCCAGAATTCCAAATTCAGTGAAAATATTATTTAGGAAGGAAGGTAAAATAAAGGCATTCTTAGGCCGGGTTCAGTGGCTCACGCTTGTCATCCCAACAATTTGGGAGACTGAGGCGAAAAGATTACCTGAGCCCAGGAGTTCAAGACAAGCCTGGGCAACTTGATGAGATCTCATCTCTACAACAAATAAAAAAATTAGTCGGGCATGGTGGCTCACACCTGTAGTTTCAGCTATTTGGAAGGCTGAGTAGGAAGAACCACCTGAGCCCAGCCGGTCAAGGCTGCAGTGGCCATGAGTGTGCCATTGCACTCCAGCTTGGGGGACAGAGTAAGACTCCGCCAACTAAAAAAAAAAAAAAAAAAGAAGAAGAAAAAAGACATTCTTAGGTAAAGAAAAACAAAAGAATTTGTTGCAAGCAGGTTTGATCCACAAGAATTACTACAGAATGTCCTTCAGAAGGAAACTTGACACATTAGAAATAAAGAAAAAAGCCTGGGCTGAGTGGCTTAGCCTGTAATCCCAGCACTTTGGGAGGCCGAGGCTAGTGGATTGCCTGAACCTGTGGGTTTGAGACCAGCCTGGGAAACTTGGTGAGACCGCGTCTCTACAATACATCAACAATTAGTTGAATGTGGTAGCGCATGCCTATAGTTCCAGCTACTTGGAAGGCTGAGGCAGAAGGATTGCCTAAGCCCAGCAGGTCTACTTGGGGTAGTCGTGAGCATGCCACTGCACTCCAGCCTGGGTGCAGTGGCTCATGCCTGTAATCCTAGCACTTTGGGAGACCAAGGTGAGAGGATTGCCTGAGTCTAGGGGTTTGAGATCAGCCTGGGCAACTTGGCAAGACCATGCCTCTACAACATATCAAAAATTAGCTGGGCATGGTGGCGCACACCTGTAGTTCCAGCTACTTGGAAGGCTGAGGTGGAAGGATTGCCTGAGTCCAGTAGGTTGAGGCTGCAGAAGTCATGAACATGCCACTGCACTCCAGGCTGGATGATAGAGTGAGACTCCCCCTCAAAAAAGAAAAGAAAATGCATAAAGAAAAAGTGACAGAAATGGTTAATATGTGGATGAATAAAATCAGCGATTTTTTTTCTTCTTGAGTTCTCAAAACTATTTTTTATGGTTGAAAACAAAAATTATAATTCTGTCTAATTGAGTTTCTAACAATGCAGATGCTGAAAACTACAACACAGAGGGAGGGGGCACATGACCTATATGACAGCAGAGGCTCTACATTCTTCTGGAAGTGTTAAAATGTTGATTCTAAGTAGATTGTGAAAAATAAAGTATGTGTATTGTAGTCTCTGGAAGCTTCAAAAACCAAACCAAAACAAAATTATACAAAGACATACATATGTGGCTCAAAACTCAATAGACAAACTAAAATAGAATACTAAAAACTAACCCCAAAGAAAGGAGTAAAGGGGAAGCTTAGCAATGAAAAATCAAGGGAACAACAGTAAACAAATAATAAAATGGTAGGTTTAAACTCAAGCTTATAACAATTACAATAAGTGTAAATGGTCCAAACGTACCAATTAAATGACTGAACTTGTCGACTGGACTTAAAATACAATTATGTAGGTAGGTTAGAAGCAAAGGGATAGAACAATATATACCACATAAACACCAATAAAAAAATAGTTATTCAGGAGGCTGAGACAGGAGGATCGTGTGAGCCCAGGAGAGAGAGGCTGCAGTGAGCTATGATCACACTACTGCACTCCAGCCTGGGTGGCAGAGTGAGACCTTGTCTCTAAGTATAATTACTTTAAAAAGGAATAAAATTAAAATAGCTGTATTCCTATCAGATGAAATAAGAGCAAAGAGGACTACCAGCAGCACTACATGTTAACAAAGGGGTCAATTCAGCAATAAGACACAGCAATTGTGAATGTGTATGTACCAAACAACAGACTTCCAGAATATATAAAGCAAAAAGATGAAAAGCAGAAATAGGCAAACAGGTATAGCTGGAGAATTCAACTCATTACCGCATGACAGAACAAGAAATGAGCAAACCAGTGAGGCTATAGAAGAACTAAATACACACTGGCAACTATCTTCATCTCATTTATAGAGTAGACATTTATAAGGCACTCCAGTCAAAGCCAGCAGAATACATATCCTTTTCAAGTACACCAAAACAGTCTCCAAGGGAAACCACATTCTGGACCATAGAATATACCTCAACACATTTAAAAGAACTGAAATCATACCAAGTATGTTTTCGGACTTAAACTAGATAATGGAAAATTCCCAAACATTTGGAAACCATGAGTCAATATGATATATATATATATATTTGGAATCTCACTCTGTCACCCAGGTTGGAGTGCAGTGGTACACTCATGATCACCCCAGTGAAGACCTGCTGGGCTCTGGCGATCCTTCTACCTCAGCCTTCCAAGTAGCCAGAACTACGGATGAGCACTACCACACCCTACTAATTTTTTTGAGGTTTGTAGCAATGAGGTCTCACCAAGTTGCCTGAGCTGGTCTTGAACCCACAGCCTCAGGCAATCCACTCGCCTTGGCCTCGCAAAGTGTTGGAATTACAGGCTGAGCCACCAAATCAGCCTAAAAATA